ATATTTGAGGTGCATTACATTGAAGAGCACATATTCCAGTACCTAAGAGGTGTGCATACATTTATAGAGGGTGGTCACCATGCCAAGCTGCTAAGGTTTTATTTGGTTCATTTTCCATCCGTTTCCTTGTTAATTTGCAGTTCTGATTTCTATAGTAGTTATTATATGTAAGATTGAATTACAATAGTTATCATACTTATGATAAGTAAAATGATTTACTTTTTAATACTGAGTTACCCTCAGCCCTATCTTAAATTTGTTGGAGGTAGGATGCAGAGATATATCTAATTGTTTCTAGTGTCTGCCATCCAAATTCTATTCTTGAGTATGTTTCCCCCTAATGCTAGTAGTTCTACCTTCTTATGTCCAATTTTTCTCCCCTTCGGCTCCTGGGCTAATTCTAGATTATACTGATCTAGTCTTTTGCATTTTTAAAACAGTTCTTTCTATCGTTGGTCTCCTCACTCTTGTGGTCTTTTTTCTTGGAAACTATATGGATTCATTTACTGCATGTGGAAATGTTCTCCTACTTACTATCCTTGTTCTTGCATTGCAGGCGCATGGCTCACTTGAACGAGATGATGAGGTATAGAATAAACTTTCTATTTTTGCAGTTGTTTGTGCCATCTTCATTGGAGCAACTGTCACCTTGTCCCAGTGTGCATATAGCCACCACACTCCCCCTCTTTCCTTGGTTGTTGACTTAGCAAATCTCCAAAACTAGTTGGATAGAAGTTCCTTATTGAGGATGGGATAGACTTTGTTCCAAGTCCTCTGTGCTGAGTAATCATGAAAATTCTCCTGATACCATAAGATCAATTCTGTAGCATCCTTAAGTTTTACTGGTCTAATAATTATAGAGTGATATAATCAATATATTTTTTAGTTTGAGTTTTGTTGTAAATATATATGTATATATATTTTTCTCTGGAGATCCTTAGTGATACGAAGTTGAACATTATACCCAAGGTTTATGTCCAGGTTTCACATGTTTTTAAGTTGTCTTTCTGCCCTCTGTAGTGAGTCTAGACAAGTATTTTCTGACCAACTGGCTTTGTGAAAAGTTGAACCTTTGTGGATAGCTGGAAAGTTTCTTACTGGAATTGCTGGCAGGATGTCTACTTTGATGATGAATCTGCTGAAGTTGTTATATCTTCTCTGCGTCTTGGAGATGACCAAGAAAGGTAGGCTTTTTCCTTCTCATTCATGGTCATTATTTATCCATGAATGTTTAGAACTTCTGATGAAGTCTGATCAGTAATTCAGAAGATTTGGGCTCTCAGGTGGTTTGTTATGAGGTTTATGAATAATCGGTTACTGGTTCCTAGAAGTGTTGGAAGAAAGAACCCAAAAGCTATTTTATGGTGCAGGTCACAGAAATTTCCTAATTAGTTGTGCGTGTATTTGACATGTTTTTGCAGTGGTTCACTGTTTACAAATTCTAACTGGTTTGCCTTTGAGGGTGAAAGAGCTGCCAGTGAGCGTTCAACTAGCGCTATTGCCTCTCAATCGCCTAGTACTGATTTGGCTGGTGGTACTAATGGTGAAGGTGATGATGATGTCATTGTTGGCGGAGATGATGATTTGGACGACACTGCAGCCTCTTCTCCCTTGCCTTCAACAAACTCTGAAGACACAACTGCTAGTAATCTATTGGGCAGTTCATCTGATAAACCACCTGTATGGGTTGAATGGAGGGAGACAGATTCCAGTGAAGCCTGTAATACAATTGAAAGTCCCAATTTGCCAAATGGTGAAATCCAAGTGGAATCGTCAGATTGTGGTTGTGATTATAATGAGATTGACAAGCCTTGTATTTCATCCGATGACTGTGACAAAACTGATGGAGGATTGCCACAAGCAAAAAATGAAGAGCCTGATTCCAGTGTTTCAGAGTCATTAATAGCAGGTGATGGTAGTAGTCCAAGCACCGAACAAACAAGTAACGAGGATGTGAAGATGGAAGTAGAAAAGAGGAGACCCTGAAACTAAAGGGATGACAAAGACAACGAGAGCAATGTTGCCAAGGAAGCGGAGAGCTAATGTAGTTTGTAATTGGTATACGTTACCCAGGCTAAATTGAGTCTGACCTATGATGACTGGATAGTGTGTGTCATCATGGGGGCACTGTGTTTTAGTAGATGATCACATTCTTCCCCA